GCCAGCTCAGCCCACCAGGGGGCGGGGCTGGCTGGCATGTGGTGCTGGGGGATTGAACCGTGGTCCCTGTGCTTTGCTAAGCTTGTTCTGAGTAGATGCTTTAGACCACTGAGCCATCTCTCCAGCCCAAGAAGCTTCTCTTATAGCACAACTTAAAATAGTTAAATCTTGGAAACAGTCTACTGTCCATCAATGGGTGAATAGGGCCTGGGAGATAGCTCAGTAGAATAAGCACCTGCCTGGCAAGCACTGGGTCCTGAGCTCAATCCCCAGTACTGTAAAAACAAATCAAAACAAATGGGTGAATACATATAGAAAGTGTGGTTTATTTATACAGTAGAATACTGCTCAGCAATGAAGAAGGATACATTGGAGTCATTTATAGGAAAATGGATGCACTTTGAGATCCTGTTAAGTGAAATAAATCAGACACCAGTACACTAATATAAATATTTTCTTATGTTTTCTCTGTCTTTCTCTGTCCATCTCTGTCTCTGCCTCTGCCCCCTGCCCCCTGCCCCTGGCCCCTGCCCTCTGGCCCCTGCCCTCTGGCCTCTGGCCTCTGGCCTCTGGCCTCTGCCCCTGCCCCTGCCCCTGCCCCTGCCCCTGCCCCTGCCCCTGCCCCTGCCTCTGCTCCTGCCTCTGCCCCTGCTTCTGCCTCTGCCTCTCTCCCTCTCTGAGACAGGCTCTCTGTAATTCAGCCTGGCCTTGAAGCTACTCTGTGACTCAGGCTGGCCTCAAACTTCTTGGCAATCCTCCTGCCTCTGCCTCCTGAGTCCTGGGATTACAGGTATGTGTTATAACACCAGACCACATGCTTTCTCTTACATAAGAAATCTAAAGGATAAATAAATAATTTAAAGGACAAATAAAGCCTGGATAAGAGGAAATAGGGAGATAGAGCCTTTGCAAATAAGAAAGAGATCGAGGAGCCAGGGAGATGGTTCAGTAGAATAAGCGCTTCCCTGGCAAGCGCAAGGGCCTGAGTTCAATCCCCAGTTCCACCAAAAAAAGAAAAAAAAAAAGAAAAAAGGAAAAAAAAAAAAAAAACTGATGAGGAGAGGAGAGAGGGAGAAGAGAAGGGGCAATAAAAAGAATTAAGATATCTATGCACATTACCAACTCTCCATGATGAGTATAATCCCTGTGTACTGCAAACATGTACTAATAAAAGCTTTTTTTTTTTTTTTTTTTTAAAGAAACTGCACTCAGTGGTTGCTGCTGGAGCGGGTGACTAGGTCAGCGGGACCCAGGACTAGCGGAACACATTTCTTTCTCTTTTTTAAGTACGTTTCTGCAATCCACAGTGGCTTCCTGTGGAGTCGGTACCTGTGTGTAACACATCTTAATTCTTGCCCCTTGCTCCGTGACTTGGTCCCCTTCCCCTCTGCAGGAGGTCTCTATCCCTGTTGGAGAGGAGCCTATTTCTGCAGGCTGGACTTCTTCCCATGTGCATTTGCTGGGGCCTGGCTTTGCAGATCCGGGGCTGCGCTCCCATTGCAACAGCCTCGGGACCACCCAGGACGACGACCACGTGGGAGCGTGGGGTGGGGACTCGGTTCAACTCTGGGCCCGGGCGCTCGGCTCTCGGGGCGCTGGACGTTGCTGGGAAGCAGCTCCGGGTTGCGGAGCCGGAACGTGCCCTTCCCCCCTGTAAACTTTCGGTCCCTGGGACGGAAGCAGGAACTTGCTAACCGCAAAACCCTGCCTGCGGCTGGTTGGATTCGCCCGCGTGCCTGCCTGTGAGCGCCACGAGCTGTCCTTGCTCCCCGGGCGGGGGACAGGGACACACGGGGTCCACTCACCACCAGGTAAAAGGCCCACCTCCCCTTCCTCCCTCTCGGCCCTTAGCGGATCGCCCTGCAGCGGACAGCTTTCCCGTGATTTCCTGGGGCCTGCGCATCACGCTCCCTAACTGGAGCACCCCAAGGACCAGGCTGAGGTGAATGAGGGGCCAGCAGGAGCTTTGCCTCAGTAACCCAAAGGCACAATACCCTGCGAGCAACATCCTTTTTACAAAAGAAAGGGGGAAATTCCCGTGTTTTCTTGGATAGCTTCCCTCCCGTTTTTCCTTATTGAAGTGTTAATTTTCTAGTATGTCTAATACATGAAGAGTATGCTCTAAGTTAAATGATTTCCAATATTTGAAGTAGTGATGTGCAAATCAGTTTTGGAGACTCCAGCAAGCTGGAGCATTCTCTCCTCCTGTATTTGCTTTTTAAAAAAAATTATTAAAAAGAGTTTACATGGAAATGGAAAGACCTAGAATAATGACAGAACATTTAACAAGACAGGTATTAGACGTGTTCCATTATGATACGCCCGGTTTTTTTTCTCCAAATAAAGTTCATAATTCACGTAGGTTTGACTTGTGTGGATTTTGAACAATCATTATTGTTCTTCATGATTGTTTTACTCCCCTCTTGCTGCAGGATTCCTCTGGACCTTTTGGCCTTTTAGACCACAAGAATGATGGATTAGCAGACCTAATTAGCTGGGATTGAGGCCCAGTGGCAGAGTGACTGCTAGCAGGTACAAAGCCCTAGTTTTAGTCCCCAGTCAAATAATAATGATAATAAAGTCTAAAAATAAGGCTTAAAAGAAAAGGCAGGAACCTTAATTAGCTAATAATCATTGACTTTTTTAATGAGATAAATTCTTTAGTACTTAACTGGGGATTGAACTCAGGCCCTTGCACTTGCCAGGGAAGCACTTGTCCTACTGAGCCATCTCCCCAGCCCCTCTTTAGTACTTCTGCAGTCTTGTGTCTGTAGAGAGCTGCATGTTGGGACCGCAGGTTCTCCCTCTTAGGGCTCAGCTGCGGTTTGCTGGCTCACAGGAGGGAATGCTCTATCAGAAGCATTGACGCATCTTCTACTTGTTTTTTCTCCTTTGTTTCCTGAGGGCTAGAAAAGAGGCTTACAAAATGTAGTAGCCTAACAAGTAACTCATGCCAAGACTCTTAATCTGCAGAGTCCGTGGAGAAAATTTAGGAAGTCTGTGAATTTAGGTGGAAAAATTTTATTATTTCACAAACCTCTAACTGAAAGGTAGTTTCCTTCCAGAGAAATGCAAGCAAAGGCCACAGGAGTATTTGCAATAGTTAATTTGATTCAGCCAGTCAAAAATCACATTGTTTCATGTTACCTATTGCCCAAGTCTCAAAATATTATTTCTAGTTAACACTTCTTCCAAATCATTGGTGATTATTTGCACCATTTGTTATTCGTAAGTGAATAAAGATGCCCTTATATCCCACAAATATTCTTGTTTTTTATTTGAACTGAAAATGGAAATTACAAATGATTTTAGTAGAATTGGAGACTGACATATGCGAAACAATAAATATTAGTGTTTTTTTTTGTGTGCAGAAATTGGACAGAATATTTAATAAGGCAGGTTAGGCATGTTCTATTATGGTAGACTGGAGGTTTTCCTCCAAATAAAGTTCATAGTTCACGTAGGGTTGACTCGTGTGAATTTTGACAGATGTATCCACCATTATTGTTCTTTATGATTGTAATCATTATTCTAGGTCTCTCCATTTCCATGTAAGCTTTTTTTAACGAATTTTTAAAAATCTTTTCTTTATTTGTTAGAGGGTCTCGCTACACAGTTCAGACTCATAGTGATCCTCCTGTCTCAGCCTCCCAGACTCATAGTGATCCTCCTGTCTCAGTCTCCCCAGACTCATAGTGATCCTCCTGTCTCAGCCTCCCCAGTTATGGGATTACAGGTGTGTGCCTCCATGCCCGGTCTTGGTAGCCAACTTGGCTTGTGGTACCAGGAATCAAGCTGGGTCCTTGCACTTGTCAGGCAGGCATTTAGACCTCTGAGCTATTTCTGTGGCCCTAGATGGGTTTTAAATGTTGATTTTTATGACTGAGAAAAGAAGTGTGCTCTCAAATTTTTTTTTTTTTTTTTTGTGAACTGGGGATTGAACTCAGGCCCTTGTGCTTGCCAGGGAAGCGCTTATTCTACTGAGCCATCTCTCCAGCCCCTAAACTATTACCACTGCTGCATCAGGGAGAGGAATTTTGTGTCCTTTCTCTTACTCTGGAAAAACAGGAAGGGGAAGGATTCTAGCACTGAAGGAAAAGCCTGCTGAACAGGGCTTCGTAGTCACTGTCGGCTTTTGATTATTGATCAGATTTGTGACATGTATTTGTGCTGCTCAGTTTTTGTCAAATTTTAATTTTTTATTACTTATTTGTTTTTTTCTTTTGAAATAATTTCTCACTTACTTTGTAGCCCAGGCTGGCCTTGAACTCACCCTGAATATGAGCTGCCAAAGCAGGTGCCTCAAGCTCGCTATGTAGCCCTGGCTGGCCTCTATCTAGGAGTGATTGTCATACTTCTGCCTACCAAGTACCAGAACTACAGGAGTATGCCAGCACACCCAGCTTCTGTCAAGTTTTGGGTTATTTATTCTGGGTTTTTTTGTCTTTTTGTTTTTTTTTTTTTAGACAATCAGTCCATCTATGTAGTGCAGGCTGACTTTGAACTCACTTATGTAGGCCAGACTGACCTCGAATTCACAGCAATCCTCCTGCCTCAGCCTTCTGAACGCAGGGATTATAGGCATGTGCCACAATACCTGACTTCTAATTTTAAATGAAAGGTTATCTCAAATTCACTGAAGATAGTTTTAAAATTTATTTATTGCTGTCCTCTAAGTTGTACATAGTTTTTATTGACTTGAAGGAAATGAAATACTTCCTCTGTGTTTTTTCTGTTTTAATTTTTAATTCCAGGGATTGAACTCAGGGCTGTGGCACCAATCCATACCCCCCAACCCTTTATTATTTTGAGATAGAATCTTGCTAAATTGCCTAGACTGAGTTAAAATTTTTCAGTCTTCCTGTCTTAGCCGTGTAGTGTGCTGGAATTTTGGTTTGTTAAAAGAAACAAAACTCATTGATGATTTTGTATTTTCATTCTAGAGTAAAATTTTACCATCTGTCCAGTCATCCTGAAGCCAGCTGAAGTCAGAGGGCAGGTCATCCTTAACCTTCCAAGACTAAGTCTAAACTGCATCTAGAATGTTCTTCAGGGAAGAAGGGCACTTGCCTTTCACCTTGCTAATAATCTGCTTCCTGACACTAAATCTGTCTGCCAGTCAGAACTGCCTCAAGGAAAGCCTAGAAAATGTCGTCATTGATATCCAGTCCTCTCTCTCCAGGGGAATCAGAGGCAATGAGCCCATCCACACAGCAACTCAAGAAGACTGCATTAATTCTTGCTGCTCAACACAAAACATAGCAGGTAAATAATATGGTCGCTCTTCATCCTGTGTGTTTCAGGATATAAGTAGATGGCGGACATGACTAGACAGTTTATGCCAGTAATTCACAATAGGGTAGACATGTACATGACCGAATCACTGGGGTGCTGTCTGTGAGTGTGCCCTGCCCTCCACTAAATGGTGTTAAAGTTGTTGGTGACTACGTGAGAACATCCCTCCGGTGGCTGGGGAAACAGAAGTTTGAAGACTACTGATGTAATGTCCCGGTGAATTATACAGAGCAAAAAAAATTCTGTGTAAATGCTTAGCTGTCCTCATCATGGAGTACTGGAACATGGTGAGATGTTTCCAAGAATTTGTAAATAGAGTGAGGGAGTTGAGACAAAAAGTGAGTCTTCACTCATCCCATGGGAAAATCAGCATTTGCTTTTTGTGTGGAACCACAGAGCCCCCACTTTATCTCCCTCCCTAGACCTGGTGGCTTAGGATAAGTCAAGAAGCAAGCAGCTGATCACCAGGATATTGCAGCTTCCAGGACTAAGAGGTCTGGATGGATGCTGGTCCCCAGAAGGACCACTTGATCAGAAGTTCGGGACTTTCAGCCTCCCTTCCTGACCACCAAGCAGGCGCTGGAGACAGAATCAATCACAGTGGCCAGTAACTGAATCAGTCGTGCCTATGCAATGAAACCTCCATGCAGCCCCCTAAGCGATAGAGTTTGAGGAGCTTCAAGGTTGATAAACATGTCCATCCATGGGCTAAGAGGGTGGTATGCCCCAGTTCCACAGGGACAGAGAGGTCCTTGTCTAAAGTGACAGCAAGCTGCAGGCTGAGCCCTGAAGTGCCCAGCATGGAGTCAGCTGCTAACCCCAGGAGGTTAGGGGCAGAATCGAATTGAGCCTTAAAATATCTGGCTGTTGGAAAGCGAGTGTGGAATGAATGCTGTGTGCGTGGAGTCAGTCTGAAGAATCTCTGCAGTGGTCTCAGACTGAGCACTGTGCTTTGGCTGTTGTTTGTGGAAGTAATTTGTAGAAGTCACAAGAGCATCCTGCGCTGGGTGGCACACACCTATAATCCAGAGAGGCTGATCCAGGGGCATCACAGGATCAAGCCCAGCCTAGGCGACTTAGTAAGACCCAGCCTCAAAAAAAAAAAAAAAAAAAAAAAAAAAAAAGGGATAGGGATGTAAACCAGTGTGAAGGACTCAGGTTCAATTCTCAACCTCCTCCCCCGCAAAAAATGTACAGATGGGCTCGGGGAGATGGTTCAGTGGAATAAGCACTTCCCTGGCAAGCTCAAGGGCCTGAGTTCAATCCCTGGTAAAAAAAAAAAAAAACCAGAAATTTAAATTTATACTTTTTCTTTCTTTAATTTATTTGAGAGAGAGAGAGAGAGAGAGAGAGAGAGAGAGAGAGAGAGAGAGAGAGAGTGGTGTGTGTGTGTGGCCAGCTCAGCCCACCAGGGGGCAGGGCCGGCTGGCATGTGGTGCTGGGGGATTGAACTGCGGTCCCTGATGCTTTGCTAAGCTTGTTCTAAGTAGGTGCTTTAGACCACTGAGCCATCTCTCCAGCCCCTATACTTTTTCTTTAAATTTTGACATAAAGATTTATGTGAGCCACAAGTGGGATTACACACCTGTAATTATAGCTCTTTGGGAGACTGAGACAGGAGGATTCTATATTTGAGTCCAGCCTAGGCAATTTAGTGATTTAAGGACATCTTGTCTCACAGTGAAAAATAAAAAGGCCTGGAGAATTAGCTCAATATGAAGGCCCTGGGTTCAAACCCAAGTACTCCCCATAATTCTCTTTTAAAATAGAAATATCACCTGCAAACCTGACTGAGTTGTATGAGTCTAAGTATTTCCTGGCAACGTAGGAAACCCTGCGTTTCTTCTTAATTCTAAGAGATGAGGATTTGCTGTTTTATTTCCCCAGCAAAAGTACTATTACTGTTCCCTGGGCCACAGCTGATAGTCCTCAACCATTTTCCTCGTGTGTCAAGCAATGATAATTTGACTGTTTATGATTTAGAAGACACTTTGAGAATTTGATCATAGCTGTGGACTCTAGAGAAATGAACATAAACATTTTGCCTGGCATTTGGGGGCTTATGGATGCTCCTATTTACCTAAGTGGCAAAAAGAATGGATTGCAGGTGTCCCTTTGTTGAGAAAAGGCCAGGAGGAGCGCCTCTCCTGTTGCTTGAGTAGAGGTTCCTGAAGTGATTAAGGCCTGCCTGGTGAGGTGAAGTCCATATCCAGCCTACATTCCCTCCCTCTCCCTGGAAGTCAGGATTGCTCCTCAGAGTTGCCTGACTAGAGGTGGTGGTGATGGTGGGCAACCATTACCCCTCCCCCCGCCCCATAGTACTGGGAATTGGACCAAGGCCTTGCACATGCTTGGCAAGTGCTATTCCACTAATCTCCAGCTCCAGTTCTTTCTGTTTTATTTTGAGATAGGGTCTCACCGGGTTACCCAGGTTGTCCATGAATTTGCAATCCTCCTGCCCCAGCCTCCCAAGTAGGTGGGATTACAGGTGTGAGCCACTGTGTCTGTACAAATGATGCATTTTTGGTAGTTAGTCCATATGCCCCTTGACTGCCAGCCCTCCAGGGTCATGGGCCAAGATGGCTGCGATACATAGAGATAATAATCGCTTCTGGACATGACAAGAAGGGGGGAAAAAGCCAGAAAGTTAAAGTAATAAGTGAGGAAGAAAAATAGAAAGGCTAAAAACACAGAAATATAAACAGCAAAAGAATGGTACTGAAAAAATAAAAAGCACAGACAATGATCACATCAGTAATCCTGTGTACTCAGGAAGCTGAGACAGGATGATTACGTGTTCAAAGCCACCCTAGACAATTTAGCAAAATCCTATCCAAAAAAAAAAAAAAAA